GCTGACACAGAGGAGTGCAAACTGCAACAGCCGAGCTGTTACTCAATTGCAGGGTGCAACTCAGGCCTGGTCCCCACTAAGCCCCCACTTTGGACTAAGGTACGCAAATTCAGCTACGTTAATAACGTAGCTGAATTCGAAGTACTTTAGTCCGAACTTACCGCAGGTCCAGACGCGGCAGGGAGGCTCCCCCGTCGATGCCGCGTACTCCTCTCGGCAAGCTGGAGTACCGACGTCGACGGCGAGCACTTCCGGGATCGATCCCAGAACATCAATTGCCTGCCGCCGGACCCTCCGGTAAGTGTAGACGTACCCTCACACTCTGTGCAGTGGTCTTCTGCTGATTGGTACACACAGGCAGAAGTGTGGCTCCCCATTGGCAGGCTTCTACATCAGAGTAAAGGAAGAAAAGCCCCCTCAAGCACTCTCACCCTGCTTTGCATGTCCACACAGTGCTGGACACACAAGAACTGAATGGGCTGGAGATACCTTAAGGACACTAATCTCTTTCTTGGGATATTTTGGCTTTTGATCTCAGAAAGAAGTAGTAGTTCCTGAGGCCCATGAGAATGAAAGGTGAGCTGACTTCCAAAAACGTTCTGTTCAAAACTTTTCAATTCCAGCTTTGGACAAAATTTTGGGTCAAACTTACTCCCTATCCCTAAAATTAGGCTTGGTTTTAAAATTCTTCCCAAGCTATTCCAGGATGAGGGAGCAGACAGTGGAACGACATGAATTGCCTTAACTATTTCCAGGCCAGCCAATGATTTTCGATAGATTCAGTAGCAAAGGCGCAAAATAAAGGAGGATAAAGCTCGACAGACTCTAGTCACGGGAAAAAGTAAATACAGCACACTGGCATTGTTAGCAGGAACAGCCTTGCACGTCTACCTTCTCCGATTTCATTCTTCAGTAGTAGAACAGAGTGAACATAGGATAAAAGTTTGTGTGGCACAAACGTAATGTGAAACCACAGCAAAGACAAGGAAGCCTGCTTCACTAAACACCAGCTGTAACACTGCACCTCAGTAGCTTTCAAGCACCTGCTCTTGCCCAAACTCACCAGGCTGCTGAAAAGATACTTCTTTGGTCAAAGAAGGGTATTGTGTCGGTGAATTTTAATACAACAGCAGGAATAGAAATTTGAGTAATTTAGGTGGGGAAGAGATTACCATATGCTGAATTTTACTTTACCATGCTCTAAGGAGCAGCCTTTTATCTAACCATTGCAGCTTATCCAGCCTGAGGGCAATATGATGCCCTCTGCTTTGAGACAGGGAGGGAAGCAAATGCATGATTTCCCTGGGAAAATCAGAAGACTATTCCTATGTTGTCTGTGGCTGGAGAAGTGTGTAAAGACAGCTCTGCAGTATGACAGTAGTACTGCATCCCCATCACATCACCACCAGTAGCTACTCCACATCAAAGATCCTGTATTGCCTTATGCGTATTGAGTGGATGAACGGGATATGGCTAGCCAGAAAGGGTCCAGAGCTAGGGAGCAGCTGTTCTCCACTGTATGCTCCAGCTCCAAGGTGCCTTAATTTACACTGCACTATTCTGGGCACGGTAATGAGATTTATTGCAGCATTAACTCCCTCCACACAGCTTCTTCCTCCTTGGAGGGGGAAGTAGTGTTCAGCCATACTGCTGGCTGCACCCCCATTGCTGGGGAGGGGAGGGGCGGACTGCAGACACAGGACAGGCACTCTGCTCAGATGTCCCAAAGTCTGCAAGGGGCCAACATTCCCTATTAATGCTTAGGGTTCATGTATGTAGACTCCTATACAACTCTAACCCCTTTCACACTGATGAGAATATGGCCTGTTTTCTAGCATAACTCTAGTTGTAAACTTCCCCCTGCCAATGTTTATTTTTTTCTTTCAAAGCAGAAGACCGTGGCCCTTAATCCAGTGACCCTCTCCTAAATAAATCCTACAAACTGTTCCAAGTTCTATAGGTCAAATAATTAAACAGGACAGTCTTTGAATACATGAAGGTTGGCAATAAAATTGTTTCCATGATAATAGAATGAACTCCAAAATGAAAATATTTTATCTGATAAGTATACTTGATCCCTCTTGAAAGAAATATGCTTGACTAAAACGTCATTTGCTACAAGTGCTCAAGGAATATCTTCATGTGTGTTTATAAAACAATCTAATCCTTCAGTCAGCCAAAATGCTTCTTTAGCAGCTACAGTGTCATCACACTAATTCAAGAGATCTCAGTTCCTCATTTACTCTTGTCTTAACAAGCATATTCTCCTAGGTTACATGTGGCAACCACAAAAATGAAGCACAAAGAAATAAGCATTATGAAAACTTAAGACAATCTAAAGCTACTATTATCAGATCAGACTAAGCTTTTTAGTAGAATAAACACCCTTGATAGCTTGAAACTTTCTGATGCCATCAGCTAATTTGTTAGTCATAGATTATAAAGCCAGAGGGGACCACTGTGATCATCTACTCTGACCTCCTGTATAACACAGGTCGTAGGACTTCCCTGAATTAATTCCTGTTTGGACTAGAGCATATCTTTCAGAAAAACCTGCAGTCTTGAATTTCCAGTGATGGCGAATCCATCACAACCCTGGATAAGTTGTTCCAATGGTTAATTACACTCACTGTTAAAAATGTGCACTTTATTTCCAGTCTGAATTTGTCTGGCTTCAGTTTCCAGACATCTTGTTTAAACCTTTGTCTGCAAGAAAGAAAAGCCCTATCAAATTTCTGTTGCCTGTGTCAGTATTTATAGCCTGTGATCAAGTCACCCCTTAACCTTCGCTTTGTTAAGCTAAGATTGAGCTCCTTGGGTCTATCACTATAAGGCATGTTTTCCAGTTTTTTAATCATTCTCATAGCTCTTCTTTGAACCCTCTCCAGTTTATCAACATCCCTTTTCAGTTGTGGACACCAGAATTGGACACAGTATTCCAGTAGTGGTCACACCAGTGTCAAATACAAGTAACATAACCTCCATTCTCCTATTTGATATTTCTCTGTTTATACATCCAAGGATCACATTAAGCTTGTAGACAGAGTGGCACTGGGAGCTCATGTTCAGCTGATTATCCACCATGACCCCAAACTCCTTTTCACAGTCACTGCTTCCCAAGGTAGAGTCCCCCTGGAGTATGGCCTACATTCTTTTTTTCTAGATGTATGACTTTAAATTTGGACGTATTAAAATGCATATTGTTTGGTTGTGCCCAACTTATCACGTGATCCAGATCACTCTGTGTCATGACCATACCTCTTCATTATTTACCACTCTACAAAATAAAACTCCAGTTGCAAAGAGTAATTAAATTAGCAGCATAGAAAGATTGTGTTGGTAACTGATGAGTTATATTAACTTGAGCTGTAGCCTAGACCCTCTAACAGGCAAGTCGACTTGAGTTTAAAGCACCCCCTCTCCTTAGTTTAATGGTTTCTGTGCATTGATGGGACTTGTGTTAGGGGCAACGTTTGTGTTATAACTCGAATTAACTGCAGTGAAGATGAGTCTTAAGATTACTCAGGGCCGCCCGGGGGGAGGGGAGGGCAGGGCAAGTGGGGCAATTTGCCCCGGGCACCGCAGGGGCCCCCACGAGAGTTTTCAGGGGCCCCCACGAGAGTTTTTGGTGGGTCTTCGGCAGCAGGTCCTTCAGTGCTGCCGAACACACCCGGAGCGAAGACCCGGAGCTTCTTCCACTCTGGGTCTTCGGCAGCAGTTCGGCGGCGGGTCCTTCACTCGCTCCGGGACCCACAGCCGAAGTGCCCCGAAGACCCAGAGCAGAAGAACCCCTGCTGCCGAAGTCCCCAGGTCTCCTGAATCCTCTGGGCAGCCCTGAGTTTACTTCCTAAAAAGGTTCAAACTAGTTCTTACTATGCCTGTTCATTATTTTAAAAGTTGAAGTTTGGATACTCTTAGTGAGAGCTAGAGTACGAAAAATAGAATGTAGCCATGGCAACACAGGCAGGAGGGGCTAGCTGCCCTGAGGGTGTGCCCGTAACAGATGTTGAATACATACTATGGTGGCTAACCCCTCCTGCTGCTTATGCTGTCATGGATATGCTATTATTAGCATGCTAGTTCCAGTGGAGCTAGCGCAAATATGTCTCCTTGAGCCGGCAATCAACCCCCCAGCTTGAAGTGTAGGCACGTCCTGTAAATCAGGCCCCTTAAAGTTGGGCACCTAAAAACGGAGGCATCTGAAATCACTAGTCACTCTTGAAAATTCAGCCAGTAATGTTTAATACATTGCCGGGAGTGCTTTTACAAAACAATACAAAATAATATTTTCGGCTTAAAAACTACTCCATTTCAATTTTTCTTTTGTTGTTTATATTTTTTATATGATTTTCTCTTCTCTCTTGCTGGTTGATAACCAACACAAACAGGAAGGGAAAGTGACTAATGATAGAAGATAAACAGTGAAACTGACTATACACCAAGTGAACAAAGTAAACAAACTGGAGGGGAAAGTTTTTCTCTCTAATTCCTCTCAGGTAAATTTTGGTGTTACTTTTAACAATGATATGTTAAAAAAAAAAGACATAAATACGATTTGCAAGTCAACAGCATTCCGTTACAAAAACTGTGGCAATGTCCCTCTTAGCTCCTTCTACTGGCAATACTGCAAAGTAACCATAGAGCAAGGATGGAAACATCTTCCTGGATCCTTGCACAGCAGGAAAGGCAATTGTGTACACACACACACACACACACACACACACACACACACACACACACACACACTATCTCTCTCTCACTCTACATCCAGGTTTTTCAAATGGGTTAATTCACACAAACACACTCAAACAGGACATCTTGGTTTTTTCCACTGGGTGAATTTACACACACACACATAGACACACACACACAGCCACCCCTTCCCCACCCAGGGTTTCCCACAGCACTAAACTTTCTGAGCCTGGTTCTTTCCAGTCCTGCCTTTCAAACAAACCATCCCCTGAAAGCTCTCCAAACCACCAGGTGAGATGTTTACTTACGTGTGAGACATGCTTTTGGCTTTTCCTCTTGTCTTCACCTCGCTGCTTTCCCATCCAAAATACCGCAGCTGTGTTTATTGCCGGAGGAGGGTGAGTGGGGGTGGAAGGGGTTGCCTGCCCCTTAATAAAAAATAGAAAAGCTGGTGCTACAACCTCTCTCTGGTGGTCCTGATCAGAAGTCACTTGGGAGGCCCCAAAGCGCCATGATTTTGGGCCCCTTCTTGGGGCCGTCTGACCCCGCACTATGGGACCAGCCTGAGACTGCTGCTGATGCCTATCATCACACCAGCAACGGTGGCTTTTGTTTCACTCCTTGCAGGTCAGACTGGCTTGGCCTAGGACTGCTGGAGGCTGCTTGTTGTGCCCAGCACACCTAGTTACAGTGGTTGTCAGCCTCCCCTCCTTCCCTTAGCAACTGGACGCCAAGCCTCCCAGCGTCCCCCCCCCACCGTTGCTATGGAAGCCAATGGGCCTGCTGCTGCCGCCTGTGCCTGTGTTTGCCTTTGTGGTGCAGACGAGGGTTGCCAACATTGTATTTCGAAAATATGGGACTGTTTTCTTAGCACGCCTCTGGGGGCAGAGTAACTGGGCCCATGGGGACCAGGGGTGGGGTGCCCAGTACCACAGGGGATGGGGGGTGCTAACCATGCTGCAGTTGGTGGCTGCTGCAGCAGTGGGGGAGCGAGGCGGGCAGGGAGCTGGTCCAGGCAGCCGAGATCACCTGCATAGAGTCCTGTCCACTTCCCCTGCTGGACAGAGTCCCCTCCTGACTCCAGCCTTTTGTGCCCCCCCATAACCTTATTGCGCTTGCCCCATAGTTTGGGACCCTCTGCGCTACAATTCCATTGGTTCAGTAAATTGTGGGACTGATTCTGCATTACTACATTGTCTAATTTTTACAAACTTTAGATCATTGGAAGGTCAGGTAATAATGAAGCTGGCTTTGTATAATGATGGTTCTAGTATGTTGAAATACAGGATAAAAGGTGTCTCATACTGACTTAGTATGGGACAGGCAATTTCCTATTTAAATAAGGGACATCCCCTGTAGTACGGGAGTGTTGGCAACCCTACTGCAGACTCATGTGTCTGCTAGGGCTGGCAGAACTGGAGGCTGCAGGGCCCTGTTTTGCTACCCCTCAGCCCAGCAATGTGGCTGTCCTTTGTTTTCCCTTGAACCATCCCAGCCTCCACTCCATGGCTGGGGGAGGGAAGCAGTGTGTGCATAGCACGGAGGGAGGAGCTGGGCTGCAGTTCATATACATTCAGGTGGTCTTTGCACCATAGCCATACTCTCTGGCTAGCTGGAGCTCTGCCGCTGGGGCAGGCAGCTGGGGGTGCATGTGTGAGGATGTGTGTGGAGAGAGATGGGGATGAGGCGTGGAAGGGAAGGGAGTGTGGTCATGGGCAGTGAAATTTATGTGTGTGTGTGTGAGAGAGAGAGCAAAGTGGGGTGTATGAGAAAGGAAAAGCGTGGGGGTGTTTCTGTGTGAGACATGGGAGCTATGTGTGAGGAGTGAGTGAGAGTTGGGGGGAGTTTTTGTAAGAAGTGTGTGGGGCCCGGGTGCGGGGGGAATGAACTGCCCTGTGGGCATTCTGTGTGTATTGGGGAGCGTATGTGTGCGACATGGCTGGTAGGTGTGTATGGTATGTGCCCATGTATATATACTTGGCAGAGCAACTTTCTAAAACCATGGGACTAGCGCAATGTCTAAACTATAGCAGTCCAGGGAAGAAAGGTTATTTCAAGGTTATTTTGTTTGTGTCTAATTTTTCCTGCATCAGTGCCAATACAAATATCAAGACTAATGTCTTTGGTGGTTTTCTGTTCACTTCTTACACAGAAAGTAGAAACTTTTTTCCAATATAAAACAAAAGGCGTTTTCATATTTTTTTCCCCAGTATCATTCCTACTTAACTATACTCATAATGGATTCATTTCAGAGTGGCTAGGAAGTCTGGTTAGAATGTTGAGACATTTTCCTTCCTTTAATTCCAAAAATGCTATACCTACCTGTCAAGTCTCCATCATTTTATACTGAGACTCACTCATTTTAGCTGCATTTTTTAGGCATCTCAATCAGCAATTAAGGACATGACAGGGATGCAGAAAGGGAAAGTACATTAAAAGAACAGAAACATTGTTTCCAATACTAAAGCAGGGTTAGAACCACATCATTCTGGAAAAAAAAGATTTCCAGACCTCTCTTAAAAGAGAAAAAAAGAATGAAAGGACAAATATAAGGTTTGGGCACCCACCCAAATGCATTATTTTTCCAAATCAGAGGATTCCAGTGTCAATCTTGTGATTTTTGGGGGCTTGACTAATGACTTCGAACAGTTGGGGTTGGCGATAATGGGTTGGAGGTTATTTACATCTTATTGTCAGATAAGGCTTTTAATTACACCAGTTAATTCCAGAGCAGCTCTGTTAAAACAGTCCATCAGAAGCTGGATCAGACCCTCAGATGTTCTCATCCTCATCCTTTTGCAACAGAGTCTCAAAAGCAGCAACCAACTTCAGACCAAATCTAGTTCATAATTTTCTTCGCCACTAGTCATTCTTCAGAGCCGTAGTGGATCACTGTTAGAATTCTTGCAGTATATCTTCTGTCCATTAATGGAACCTTTTTGACAGCAGTCTCTTTTTGCTAAAATAATTTCGGAGTTAGGAGCATTACTCATACAGTCTCAGTTCTACATCTTCCATAAAAATATGTAGGTTTAAGGGCTGATTTCGCCTTAATTCCTAAGCAATATACATTTTTTTCGTAGGGCACAGATCTACCATCCCTCTTCCCAGATCCCAAACATCCAAGAGAAAAGGAATGACCTTTACTTGTTTAATGAGCAACTAAAACATATATCAAAAATTCAAAATCCTTCTAAAAAACCTACCCTCGTATTTTTCTTTCTAAACCCTAACAGTCTCAAGGAAACTGTTATTTAAAATACTGATAGCTAACTGACTCAAGCATGCATGTGAGAGGCTAGAAAGTGGGAGTCCTCTGAAATACATTAAAAGAAAGGTGATCAGATCACTAGATACAAGATGGACTGAAAAAGGCCGTGTTTCACGTGAGATCTGTATATGTTTCATTATTCAGAAAATGTTTCCTTACAGGGACATGCACTACGCTTCCAATCCCACCTAATGAATGGCAGCCATGTTTAAGATGGAGAAGGAGGGAAAAAAGTCTTAGTAGGTGATTAAGCTCTATGGTCCTTTATTAATGATTTGTATTACGTTAGTGCCTAGAAGCCCCTACAGACGTATGGGTCTCATTGTACTAGGGGCTGTACATATTCAGGAGACAGCCCCTGCTTTGAGGAGTTTACCTCCTAAATAGACAGGACAAAGGGCAGGAGAAAGGAAGTATTTTTAGCCCCATTTTACAGATGTGAAACCGAGGCACAAGAGGTATGTCTGACTACATTGCATTTGGGAGCCAGCCTCCCAGCCTAGGTAAACAGACTTGCATTAGTGTGCTGAAAATAGCAGTGTGGACTTTGTAGCACCGGTGGCACCTCAGCCTCACCACCTGAGCTCAGACCTAGGGGAGGGGTGGGCTTCAACCTGGGTGGTTTACCGAAGCCTCTGTCAGTGCAGCAATGCCCACAATGCTATTGTTAGTGTGTTAGAGTGAAACAGGTCTGTATACCTGGGCTGGGAAGCTCGCTCCCAGCTGCAGTGTAGACATATCCAAAGAAATTAAGTGACATGTCCAAGGTCCCATAGGAAGTCTCTGTCAGAGCTAAGAGTTTGTTTTTTCTTTTACATTTTGCTGTGAAACTGAAAATGGAAACATTTGAGTGGAAAATTGTGCTTCAGTGTCACGCTCTTTGAAAAGAAAATCAGATTTTTCCCATGCAAATGAGTCTGGTTATAAACACAAACAGGCAAGTGTTTGAGTGACAAATGGCCCATTTTCCCAGCAAAGATGGCTATTGCACTAAAACCAGGGAAGTTTGGGTTTCTACATGTTTTCACTCTGAAAATTAGAGAATAAAGCAAGATTTGAGAGAGAAGTGGAACTGCGCAGATTGTTATGCGTCATTCTGGACATTGATGATCTCATCAAACTGCTCTTTACAGTTTTTACTCTCCATGTTCTTTTCCCACTGCTGATTGGCTGATGGCTCCAGCTCCCTTCTGCCCCTTCCTTCACAGTCTCTTCAATTCAGGCTCAATCCAATTTCCCTCCATGTCACACTCCATTTTTCTCTCCTCCTTCTTTCCTTCTCATCCGGCCTGATCTCTATCCTCTCACCTACTATGTCTCTGATATACACTTAATATAAACAAAACATACTCCAAAATTATTCTTAAAAAGAACCCAAATCACTCAACCAATCTAAAGAAAAAACTCATGGAGCTCACAGGACCCCTGAAAATCATCACACTTTTCACTCTGCTTGTATGTTCTATTCCCTTTCCCCTGCCCTTTGTTGGTTATGTCTATTTAGATTGTAAGCTCTTTGGTGGAGGGGATAACTTGCATTCTGTAGTCTCGTTCCTGCAAAGATTTGTGCACATGCCTAACTTTATTTGAAGTCAGGCTACTCATAATGTGTAAAGTTAAGCATGAGGGTAAGTCTCTTCAGGATCAGGGCCCATGTATGTAAAGTCTAACATAAGGGGGCCTGGAAATGCTACATACTACCACAGAACAAATACACTAGTAAGTTCTGCCAAACAAAAATCATATATTTTGCAGAACTCCAGCAGTGACCTCCTCCTCCTCTTCACCATTCTGTATTACAAAAGAAAATAGTCTATTAATGTACAAGACTTAAATGCAAGGGTAGTTTTTACAGAAAATATTGCTTATGGGTGTCTGTCACCTGTTAGCTTCTTGTAAAAAGAAGTTTAAAAATGTGGCTGGCTAGGAAACTACTTGCCACCATTTTCACATTGGTCTTTGTTGCAAGTTTAATAGGTTACTGGTGATCTTACAAGGAGATTGCTTTTGAAAATGGAGGTGCTTGTTCCTCCAAATTCAAACTTTTGGCAATCAGCTTAGTGCACCTGTCCTAAAAAGGGAGCCGGGGACTGGGGGGAGGGTGTTTGGAGGGGCTGAAGGTAAAGCATGGAATATTTCAGAAATAATTATGCCATTGCAGTTCAGATTTCAAAGCATTTTACAAAGGGCTGGGTTGTGCCTTTAGGTCCAGTCCTGAGCAAGGGGTGATTTTTAAATTGTATCGCCCCAGAAGGCATTGTGCCTCTGAGACCTTTTTCTCCCCTCCCCCGCTAACCCCTAGCAAGGAAGGCTGGTCCAGCGGTTAGGATGCTAGCTTGGCACTTAGTAGACCTGGAGGGTTCAATTCCTTGCTCTGCCACAGACCTCCTGTGAGAGCTTTGGCATAACATTTGGCCCAGATCCTTAAAGGCAGCTAGGCAGGGGCA